ATAGAACCTCCTGTTGGAACTTGAAGAATTCAGCACCTTCAGAGGGCTCTGGAGGCAGAGTCAGGGCCTCGATCAATGTCACAGGGATGATGTTCCACATCATCCAGTGGAACTGAGACTTGAGCTGTAACCTCACGGTGGGTTAAGGAAGTTCTCACCTCAGCAGTGGGTTCTGGCCTTTTGGTGAGCTGTAGGTCTGGAGGGTTCACTGTCAGCCTGAGCCAGTGTGAATGCTTAGCTTGACGGTGAGCTGGAATTGAAATTCTTCATGATGTGATGGAGTTTCACCTAGACTCCCTAGAGGGGTTTCTAGAGCTGGCGTATCTTCCTGGACTGGTGATTTAACTTCCTCCAGAGGATTTTCAGTTTCAGGCAGAGCTTCCAGAAGTTTCTGCCTCCTCAGCAGTCTCAGAAATCACAAGTGGCTGGTCTTGCTGGCTGGGAGAAAGTTCAGTCTCCGTAGGAGAGCCGGGAGGCTGAGATGGGGCCTTCTGCCAGGTTGGAGAAGGTTTCATTCCCTCAGGACTCTCTGAAGGTGATGCTGGGGCCTGCTGATGGCGTGGAGGAGGTTGAGCCTCCTTCCCAGCCAGTGTGGTCCTCGTGTTCTTCACAAGCATTTTAACTGTGACCACCAGCTCATGTGAATGATGCACTTCACTCCTACCCGGAGATGGAGCTTTTACCTCCTGTGGCACTGACAGCTGCTCCACACCCTCCTCAGCAGCAAGGTCAGGCTGACCCTGTGTGGAAGAAGGTTCCCCTTCCTCAGGGCACTGTGAGAACTGAGCTGTCATTTCTTGCTGAGGAGAAAAGGATTGTACCTGGGCAGTCTCTGGGTGGAGATTCTGGGCCTCCAGCTGGAATTGAGAAGGTGTAGTTTGTCCAGGGGCCTCTGGAGGCTCATCTGTGTTCTCCTGGGACTCCAGATCAAGGCTGTTATGCTCACCTCCATCCATACTTGTGTAAATATCCTTCTCTTGGGAGATTTGCTCCTGAAACTTAGGTTTTTCAAGTTGATGTGGAGTTCCAACCACCACCTCAGGGAGTTGCTGATCCTGATCCTGCTCCTCCTCCTTGTTCGAGTGTGAAAGAAACTTTGCTGCTTTTGACTGCTGCCTGTCCAGAGGTACAAAAGGTACTTCACCTGCCCAGTGGTCTGCAGTGTGATGGAGCCCAGAAGTCTGGATCTTCCTTTTGAGGTGAGGAGGCAGAGCTAGAAATTGATTCTGACCCCCATCTACCATCAGAACCAGTTTTTGGAGCCTCTCTTGCCAAGGTAGCTTGGCACGCAGACCTTGATGTGGGGCGGCAACCTTATCCAGCTGTGGGGACAGCTGTCCAGCAAACCTCTGAGGTGGAGACAACATCTTGGTGGGCACTGAGGAATCCAGGTAAACAAAGCCTCCAGGCTCTTCTAGGGGAGTAAGGGCAGTGAGTGATTCGAGCAGGAGATCAGAATCGAGGGAAGAGGGCTTATTATCTGCTAGGGGCTCAGAGACCAGTTGAACTGGGTACGGGGTCCAGCCTGGCTGTGGGACAGCCAGGATGGGCAGGCACAATCTGTTGCCAGTGCAGCAACAATGTAGCCCAGAAACAAATAAAAACATGATAGGGCAAGGTTTAGTCTCACAGATCTAGGCCAGTAGGGTGCTGACCCTAGGTCTGCTAGAACCTTTCTGGCAGCCACCTGTGTGGCAAGTGCCTTGGTAATAGTGCTCACCCACATTCTGCCACACCCCACCCTTTCTGTATGACATCATAGTGGAGGAAACCTTTCTCAGGGCTGCCCATCAGTGCCCAGGCCTGACTCTCTTTCCCTTAAAAGGTGACAGTGGCTTTTTGCAGAGCCTCTTCTCCATAGCAATGCCAACGTGTGGTCTTGGGCCTGCACCAGCCATTGGGTGGGGAAGAGCTTCCCATGGAAGTTAGGGCTTGGTCTTGGGATGCTCAGAAGTGTTGCAGCAGAGAGGAGCAGCTCTGTGCTATAGCCAAGTGTTACAACTCAGTGTGGTGGCTCTGAAACACTGCTCTGAGGCTCAGCTGAGCTTTATTGCTCAGTGTGGCATCTCTGGGTCACGGATCTCATTCTTTGAAGACTTGAGAATCTGATGGTCAGTAGAAGAGGTGGAGATAAGCCTTTTATTATGCCAGTGAGCCCCAGTGGGCTCAGAGGAGTCTGAGCACTCTACCAGAAATGAGAGCCTCCTTATATAGGGAGCCACAGGGTAGGTGAGCATGCTCATTGAAGTG